GTTTCTCGGAGGTCGGCCAGATGGTCCGCCTGAAACTTAGATTTCACAATCATATCATCTATGTATGCCTCGACATTCCTTCCAATTTGGTCAAAGAAGACCGTGTTTATCATTCTTTGGAAGGTGGCCAGGGCATTCTTCAAACCAAACGGCATGACCGTGTAGCAATACAACCCTTGATCAGTGACGAAGGCCGTCTTCTCCTGATCCTTCTTCCACAAGGGGATCTGATGAAAGCCAGAGTAGGCGTCCATGAAGCTCATTAAGGCGTGGCCGGCTGTTGAGTCGACCAAACTGTCGATCTTAGGCAATGGATAGCTATCTTTGGGGCACGCCTTGTTCAAATCAGTGTAGTCCACACACATTCGCCAGGTACCATTCGGTTTCTTTACTTGTACAACGTTTGCAACCCAGTCAGGGAAATAACATTGCCGAATGAACCTTGCATCAAGCAATTTTTTAACCTCGGCGGCAGCCGCCTGACTTCTTTCTTCACCATGGTTCCGTTTCTTTTGCCGGACTGGCCACTTTTTTGGATCCACAGCTAGTTTATGCACAGCTAGGTCCGGACTTATACCTGGCATTTCATGAACCTCGAATGCAAAGATATCCTTGAATTCCTTCAAGAGTTGGCTAAGATCATCACCCAGTACTGTAAGAGCAGTCGTCCCAACTTTGATTGTTCGGTCAGGACGTGAGTCGTCCAGGACGATATCCGTATGCTCACCAGCCGGCTGAGGGCGGAATTCGTCTGACCACTCCTCTGCCAGTGATTGCTATCGTTTTTCTTTTTTCTCGGCCCCCAGTTGGTCAGCCTTTCTTTTCTTGCCGCCTGCTGCAAGCGCATTCTCCTTGATCTGTTCAAGGTCATTGTTCTCTCCACTTGGGCCAGCAGCCGCTACAGTGGGTTTAATATCAGAGAGATAACACTCTCGTGCCATCTTCTGATCTCCCCTTAGGGAGCCGACTGTTCCATCATCCTTCTCAAACTTGAGCAGCATAAGTGAAGGAATGATGACAACTTTTGAGTTGTTCAGGGTGGGTCGCCCCAGGATCATGTTGTAGGCCGAGAGCTCTTCCACAACTAAGAACTGGACAACCATGTGACGACCCTCCCCTTTCTCACCCAGGCGAATGGGTAAATCCACCCGCCCTATTGGGTGTACGACACTTCCTCCAAACCCTACTAAAGGGTGAGATACCAGATGTATGCAGTCAGGTTTATACTTGAGCTTTGCCAAGCACTTGTTGCTGATGAGATCAGAGGAACTGCCGGTATCTATTCAATGACAATGGGGTCGTCATGCGACCCCCTAACACCAAATCTAGCACGGCCGTGCCAAATCTAGCACGCCTGTGCTGAATCCCAGTGAAGCGCACTTAATTCTCTGCCATGCCTGCACGGCCGTGCCACTTCTAGCACGGCCAATGGGGTCGTCATACGACCCCCTAACACCAAATCTAGCACGGCCGTGCCAAATCTAGCACGCCCGTGCTGAATCCCAGTGAAGCGCACTTAATTCTCTGCCATGCCTGCACGGCCGTGCCACTTCTAGCACGGCCGTGCTGATTTACGAAGGGCAGCCTGCGCAATTGTTTTCTAAATTAAAACATATATATATATCTATATATATATATATATAACCCTATTGTGAAGGTTAAGAGGACAGATTTTTAGAGAGATATTGAGAGTACTTCCGTAGTAAAGGTTCCATAGTTTTCTTAGATTTTATTCTAGAAAATTCATAGTTAATCAGATTCGAGATACTCTAGTTTTTCGGATTTTATTCAAGGCAAGATTAATTGGGATTCTTTGTATTATTCATTGACATCGGATATCAAAGTTCCAATCTTTTGCGTTGATTCGCATCGATATTGTTGGTATTATTCATTCTTGTTTATTATTCAAGCTTTATTATTCCTTAATCAGAATTCATATTTAGATCTATTATGCTTTTGGAATTCATTATTGCTTTGATTATATGTGTGAGTAGTCTCCTAGCTAGGGTTTCGGGATGAAACCTGGCCTAGGTAATCTATGTAATTGAGGGTTGATTTTGATAAACGGATTGTGATTAAATTGATTATATGCGATTGCATGTTAATTCATTATAATAAGAGTAGCTAACCTAGAATCTTGAACTTGATTGCATGATATTCTTGATTTGAACAAGAGATTGTGAATTGAGTATTTCATTGTTGAATGTGGTTTGATTATGTATCGAGTAATGTTAAGTGCATGAGAAATCCAAGCTTAGTATTGTCCGTTGTCTTCCTACCGCATGATATTGATCAGACATATAGTCTTTGCATATCCCGTTTGCCTCTGTGATTCCTTGTTGCTTAGTTACCAGTGGTTAGGCGGATTCCCGTTCTCCCTAGTGTCTTAGTTTATTGATTATTTCATCTTATTAGTAGTATTTTAGAACACCATCTTCCATTGATTTCGAACTAGCTTAGGTTTTAGGATTGATTAGCAGTTACTCCCATTCTTCGTGGACCGAACCTTTATTTGCCATTATACTGGTTATAGGGTGTTCGTATAAGTATTGTTTGATTAAGAGTTAGATTGTAGCGACCGATTTAACGCTTGTCAGCTTCAGCCTCAATTAAGGCTTCTTGAAGGGTAGCAACCCTCTTCCGGACCAGGTCGAAATTTGAAGGTCGACCCATCCTTGAGACCTCTGAAAAAGTCAGTGTAGGCTACCTCACCCGGTAGCCCTTGTATCTGAATCCTCATTAGGTTGAACCGCCTGATGTAGGAACGGAGTCCCTCCTTCTCTCCTTGCTGTATGGTCCCTAAGTCAAGGGTTGTCTTTTTAGCAGGGATATTCATGGCGAAATTGGAGGTGAACAGGTAAGCGAGGGTCTTGAAATTGTTCACACAACCAGTAGGCAGGTTGCCGAACCATTGTTGAGCAATGCCCTTCAGAGTGGCTGGGAAGCACTTGCACCAGGTGGGATCATCCAACCCTTGAAGGTACATCAGGTTGGTGAAAGCCATCAGATGGTCTTCTGGATTCGTAGTGCCATCATAGGCGCCTACTAATACATTCTTCACTTTGGCCAGCTGGGCGGCCTCAACTATTTCCTTGGAGAAGGCGGACGGCTGTTCTCCAAGTCTAAGCAACCTAAGTTGCCAGTCCAAAGGCTGGACGTTTCTTGCCGCCTGTCCTCCAAAGGGGGTAGACTGCATGAAATATTGGTGTTGCGGCACGTATGGCTGGGGTGGCACATACGGAGCCGCCTGGTTTTTCTGAAAGCCGGACCGGTGGGAGGTACCGCCTGTCTAGCTCTCATAGTTTGATTGCGAATACCTCATGGAGGTATTGTGGAGACTGTCTTGAAAATCAGACGTAGAGACCAACTCTGATAGTCGGTCATTCTTCTTCTGCTCTAGCAACATTCGAGCATCAGAGTATGTTTTCTTCGACCCATCCGGTTGAATATGACGGATGGGCTTTCTTTTCCCTAGAGAAGGGAAGCGACACTTAGTTAGATCCCAGTTCCTAGACTTAGGATAAGGAGTCGCCTCCCGATCTTTTAGAAGCTTCTTCCTCCCTGACTGGGAGGGTCTTCTGGCCGACTGCTCCTTGGATGGAGCAGGCGTCTTCTTATTGATGAGATCCTGGATCTCCCCTTTGAAGCTATTCATTAAGGTCATGATTTCACTTCTAGTGATGGGGGCAGATCCCTCGGGCGCCTGTTGATGATCAAGCGGCTGGCCTGCTGGTTTACTAGATCCAGCCAGGCAATCCTGTCGCTCCTTCCTTTCGGAGGAACGAGTTCGTCGAGCTCTTAAGGTCCCGTCGGGGGCCGTGTGAGTCTCGACCTCAACCTCATTGTCAGTATCCTGTTCCGTTTGAACCAGGGGGTCGTCCATGGGACGCTTGTCACTTAGAATCGGTACAGACTGTGATTCCATCTCGAAAGTACTCTCCCCACAGACGGCGCCAAAATGTTTCGAGGTTTTCTAATGTCCTGCGGGAGAGTTACAATTCCGGGACTAGTATCCTTGCGCCTGTACCTGCAAAACAACGGAGACTCCTTGTGGTGGGAGCTCCGCCTCCGAAGGTCAAGTTAGTACTTGTTTTAGGAGTAATAAGTGCGGAAAAGTAAAGGTAGGAGATCTGGTTCCTCAAGGTGAGGAGTGATCAATGTGTTTTTGGCTTCTCTAGGTGAGAGTAATTAGTGTATTTATAGTCTTGGGAAGCGTGCCTAATTCTAGGGTTTTTGGTAAACCCTAGAGCTGAATGGGCTTCTCCCGGGAAGTGGGCCTAGGTGGCCTCCTTCCAAGCTGGCAATCAATGGGCCACATGGCGTGGCTTGACTGGTCCATGGTGGACAAATGGTTGTGTGCCACGTGGCAGGCCCTGAGAGGTCCAAATGGAGGACACTTGGCAGGACCTGATTGGTCCATGTGGCGTACATTGATTGGTCGGGAAAATCCCCTAATCACTGGTGGTTAATTTCCAAGCACAACGGTAATGAATCCAAAAGAGGATGCGAAATCTATCACCTTGATTTTGGAAGAGGGGTTGAAGCTCCAATTATTAGAGAAGAGGTTGCCAAAAAGGGAGATGAGGGAGATTGTTGGGTAGATGAAAGTGAGTTTGAAAATAAATTGAGTGAGGAGGCGAGAGGAAGGTAAAAAATGAGTGATGAGGGTGCCTCAAAGAGAGACGAGGGAGAAGTGAAGAGCCAAGCTCCATTGAAAGCACATGAGCCTCGTATTCCATTCCCTCATAGAATGATAGAGAAGAAGCTAAATGAGAAACATTCCAAGTTCCTTGATGAAATGAAAGGACTTCAATCAAACATTCCACTTCTTCATGGTTTGTCACAAATGCCTACATATGCAAAGTTTTTGAAATATATTCTTTTTAACAAGAGTAGGCTTGAGGAGAGTGATTCTATCACCCTTCCAACGGAGATAAGTGTTACTCCTCAAAATGAGCCTTCCCGAGAAGTTTGGTGACCCCAGTAGTTTTGCTATACCGATGAAGGTTGGGGATCTTGAATCCACAAATGCTTTGTGTGATCTTGGGGCTAGTGTTAGCCTTATGCCTCACTCTATGGCCAAAAGGTTGAGTTTTGGGGAGATAAGCCCCACCAAAATGTCAATTCAACTAGCCAACCGCTCGGTTAGAGTCCCATTGGGAGTCTTAAAGGACATCCCGATTCAAGTGGGAAAAGTTCTTGTGCCATGCAATTTTGTAATCATGGAGATGGATGAGGATTCTAAAATTCCTCTCATATTAAGTAGGCCCTTTTTGAAAACTGTGGGTGTTAATATTGACATGAAACAAGGGCGGCTTACTTTACATGTTGGGGATGAAAGAATCTCTTTCTCGTTTCCGGAAACGTTGAATGACCCCATGGTTAAACAAGTTCATCGGATTGATGATTTGGTTAATACTTTGAAAGAAGACATAGAGGAGTCATAAGATGAATTGACTCATGCTCCGGAGGTGAAAAAGCAAAAGAGAGCCAAGAAGAAAAAGAGAAACAAGATCAAGGTGATGGAGAAGTTGTTTGGTTGTATTTCTAGTGATGATATTAGCAACGAGGTTACATTGCCTAAAGAAAATGGCATGTATGTGGGAACAATGAGGTGGGTCAAAAAGGTGTGCCTTGACCCACCTTAATCATGGATAGCGCAATGTCGTCAAGCTAATGATATTAAAGAAGCACTTTCGGGAGGCAACCCGAGTATTTTTGTAGTGGATTAACTTTTAGGAAAAAAAAAAAAAAAACAATCACAAAGTGCATGTCTTCCAACAACAACCAACAAGAACAAAGGTACCAAGGAGGTTCAAGCTTCAAAGATGACCCGATCCTTGAGTTGATCTTCTTTCTCCCCCTTTTTATGTGCTTTTATTGCTTAACATTGAGGACAATGTTTATGATAGCTTGGGGAGGAGTCATTTGCATGCCTTCTTGACATGTTGATTTGTTTTGGTTGCCTATGTTTTGGTAGTTTCATTTCCCTAATATCCAAAGCCATTAATCCAAATTAGCTCCTTGTGAAATCCAAACTCTTATCTTGTAAATTCTATCCAATTTTCTTTTTATTTGGTTAAAAAAAAATTGAAAAATGAAAAAATTTCCCAAGGATGAAACTCAAATTTTCGATTCTTATGTGATTTCCTTGTTTGACTCTTGAGTGATGAGTAATTAGTTTTAAAAAATGTGTATGCAAGAGTTGGGTCATTTAGAAATCTATTAACTTTGATTGCATTAGTGTATATGAAATAAAAGCCGATGAATGCTCAATTGCACATCTAGTCTAAAATAATGTCTAACTCGCTCAGTTTGAGATAATTTGCGGTCCCATGTGTCCTTGATGTGTTTCCCGCTCTCCTCGAAATAAAGCTTTATTAAAGACTTGTTTATGTGTGTAATGTATGAAATAAGTGGCATAATAAGCCACAAGTTATCAATAAAAGAAAGAGTCGTTCACAGTTAAAAGAGGCTAGAGCGTTGAAACGAAAAAAAAAAGAGAAAAATGAAACGAAGAAAAAAGAAACAAGAAATATCAAAGAAGAAAAAGTCCTAAAAAAAATCCCTAAAATATTCATTCTCTTTAGAGGTCAATTTGTGGTTGCCTCGAACACTTTCTCCGTTTACTTATGTATTGTAAAAGTCTCGATATAGCGTGTAGTTAGGGGAAGTCTATGCGCATTATGGGAGGTGGACTTGTATTTTGCAATTTTATAACCGAAAGAGAGCTTGTTAAAACTTTGAAATACTAGATGTGTTCTAATGACTAGTAAGAAGCTTAAATAAGTGTCCTAGTGAAATCTTGTTTAATTTCTTTCTTTAACCCCAACTCATGTGTACATTGATTAGTTTTTCATAAATGAAAGTTGCTCTATGGCCTTACTTGTGTTTCATATCCCGATGAATTATTTTGGGCAAATAAAAATTTGATTCATGTGTGTGGTCTTTGATGACCTTGTGGTGGATTGTGTGAGATGTGGGTTAAGCTCATTGGAAATCCTCACGAAAGTAAAACTCGTCCTATAAGGCGACTTGTGGGTTTAAATGGCTTCTCACTCATGCTAAAAGTGATAGCGATCAATATGAGTCCGTATTTTTGTGCTTGCCTCTTCTCTTCTTGTTTCTTTTACTTGGTTTCGATTGTAGCAAGTTTTCACATTTCACATTTGTTATGATGGTTTGCTCGGGGACGAGCAATAGCTTAGCTTGGGGGGATTTGATAACATGTTATTTGATATGATTTTAGGGTGTTTTTCAACCTTAATTACTAGATAGATTGGTGTTTTGGTTCACTTTTACTCTATTTTCATGCAAGTTTTATGTATCCTTTGCTTCACGGGTTGTTAGTGCTTTTGTTGAGATTTTAGGTCCAAAGACAATCAATTGAAGTCCTTGGATGATAAACCTAGGTTGGAAGCAAGATGATGATGGAAAGAAACCAAAGCAAAGGAGTCTTAATCAAGAAGAAGGAGAAAAATGCAGTGGAGCGGCCTCTCTAAAGAGTGACGCGGCCTCTCCTCAGGTACGGCCTTTCCAAGTCAGTGGATAGGCCTCTCCTGACCCAAACAAAAGTTCCTGCCTATATTGCAAAGTGAAGAAACTAAGAGGAGCGGCCTCTCCACATAGCGCGGCCTCTCCACCTTGTTGTTGTAGCTGCTATCTCCCTTAGGAAAATTCAAGAAATTAGTGAGGAGCCGCCTCTCCAACATACGTGCGCGGCCGCTCTACATGGAGCGGCCTCTCCACCTGTTTGGAGAGCCCTCTCCAACATGTTGCTGAAGTTCCCGCCTCCCGTTGACAAAATTGGAAGAAAAATGCATAGGGGCCTCTCCAATATAGGTGCGCGGCCTCTCCAACTGGGGAGCAGCCTCTCCACCTTTTTGGAGAGTCCTCTCCACCCTGCTGCAGAGTTCCTGCCCCATTTTTACTCAGCAAAGCGCGGCCTCTCTAGTCCTTTGGAGCGGCCTCTCCAGTCCTTGGAGCGGCCGCGCCCGATAGCTCTTGTGACTTTTATTTTGCGGAGTTTACTATGTAATTAGGGTATTATAAATAGTTATGGGGGTTCTTTTGTAAGAGGATCCAAGTTTTCAGAGTCCTTCCTCCTAGGGTTAGCAATTTTTGTTCATCAAAACTCTCAATAATTGCTTAGATCTTAGGTCTTAATCCTGGAAATTTTAAATCAAATCATTATAGAAGACAAGTTCCACCATTGTTTCTCAATTTGAAGCTTCTTAGTAACTATTTCTTACTTTTTTTTTCTTTTCTCTCTTCTTAGTTGTTAATTACTTGCTTAATTCTTATATGCTTAGGTTGTTAATTAGTTTAATTCTTAGTTGAACTTGTTCATGAATTGCTTGGAATCTTTAATTGCTTTAATTTCCATGGATTGTGAGTAATCTAATTTCTAGGGTTTGGGTAAAACCCTCAATGCAATCACTAATAACATGTTGCAGTAATAATTTGGTAATTGTGAGGTGTTAATTAGTTGACCAAAAGTGGTTTCTTTGTTAGTTCTTGCATTTGGCCAATGTTAGGATTATTTATCCAAGCTTTCTCAACAAAGGATCGAGAGATGAATTTGAGTTAGCTCCCTTATGCTTAATTGACATGAAATGCCATGAGAGTAGAAATTTCCAGTCAAGGGAATGTTTATGTCATCGTGATTATGCCTTAATACTTTTATGCTTTGTAACCATGAGAGTAGGATGTTTTCATGATTCAAGTAATCTTTCTACCTTGAGAGAGTAGTTGGCTGCCTTAGATGACTTCCCCTATTTTATCCCATAATTTACCTTAATTGTTGCATGCTAATTGTGATTTGTGATGAAGTTGAGTGGTATAACTCGAACCCTAGATTCCTCTTAATATTGTTAATTTCCTCTTAGCTTTAGTTGAATTGAACTAGTAGAAGTTACTTAAAACCAAACCAATTTGCCTTGATTTAGCTTATTTAAACGGTAGTATTTCGGTGGATGATTCAACGTCTCTCTTGGGTTCAAGCCTTTCTTACCCTTGCTATTAGTTACTGAGACCAAGATATGATTATCTTTGGTAGGCTCGAAAATGACCTATCAACGATCAAAAAAAGATGAGAAACTCTAGATGCGATAAAACTTCCTGTCGCGTCGCGATAGGCTTGTTGCGTCGCAGTGGCCCTTGCCGTGTCGCGACAGGGTTATTGCGGCGCGATGAATATGTCTTGATGGGCTTGTCGCGTCGCAGTGGCCCTTGATGTGCGATAGTTCTTAAAATAGTAAAGTTTGAACGGATTTTGGTTTCTAATGGGTTTTCTCTTCAAAATATATCCGAACGTCTTCATAAAAATTAAGGTTTATTATAAGAGTTCTATTCAATCTCAAATTCTTGATCTTTATCTTTTCGAGAAGAAGAAATTAGAACCTTCTAGAAGATTCTAGCTGACTTGGGTTAGGAATATGATCATATGGGGCCTAAATAGATTATTTGGACTCCATATAATCATTGGGTCGTACTAAAGGTGGGCCTAGCCTTGGTTTGGGCTCGGTTTAGTATTTTGGTCACATCTCACTCGTTTTAAGTCGGATTTGGGCTTATAATATATCATTGGAAAGCGCTTTTGAATCCCCATCAAACCAAATAATAATTGGATTGAGAAAATGGACTGAAAATAATCATATTGGACGGTTTTTATAATTTGGGCATGAAATGAATATTTTTGGATTAAAAACATTTTGCTTAAGGAAACTTTGCGCTACCTTTCAACTCTTTGCGGAACTTGTCAATCAAAACGTGAAAGGCACTCGTCACTTGGTTTGGTGTTTGGGGAGTCACAATCAAGTGTCTACAGAAGCCCGCACTTTGACTGAGTTTGGAGAAACGTAAGTTTTGAAAAAATTATTCTATTAACGCCGATACCTGCAGAAAACGTCAGTTCTACAAAAGACGTTATAGGGAAAGAGAAGTGTATCTGACACCGCCGGGCACGCACTAGTGATGACAATCCACTTCAGAAACAGTTCCAACACAATTCTGAATGATGAATGACAGTATGGTTCAGGGAAAATTATTAATGCTACGTAATAATCCACCATAGGAAATGTTTCCACGATGAAACGACAATCCGCATCTCGGAAAAATTGCCAAATCCAATTCGGAAAAAGTAGCCAATGCTGCGTAACAATCCATCATAGGAAATATTGTTACGATCGACAATCCACGCCTTGGAACATAACTCTCGAAAGACAATCCACTTCGAAAAATTTACCAATGCTATGTGACAATCCATTTAGGAAAATATTGTCACAATCAACAATCCACGACATTAGCCGGAAGAGCTAAACGACAACCCGCTTCGGGAAAAATTTGCCACTACTGAAATGAAAGATAATCCACAACCTTTGCCGAAATATTAAATTGAATAATGACAATCCTCTTTGGGAAAATTTTGCCATGGTGAACTCGGTGA